ATATCTTCTAAAATTCCTAAGTTTCTCGTTTACTTAAAAATCTTCCTATAAAATTGCTAGCCGAGATAAATAGCGCGATAAAATTTCGTATAGCAAATTGATCCAATGAGACTAGTTGAAAACATGCAAGAAAAGAAAATGAAAAAAATATATATATAATGAAACTACGAGAAATTATTATGGAATACTCGTGAGATATGGAACGAGATAAGAGAAAGGAAGAAATATCGATTCATTTTGTGAAAATAATATACAATTACATATTTCTATAATAAACGAGATGAAAATATCAATGGATAGAACAATGAAGCACAAAGTAAGAAAAAGAAAAAATATCTCGATAATTAATTGAATACAGACTAATGAATTATTTATGAAAATAATGATCTTTACACTAACCATGTAATCTCTCTTTTTCCTTGTAACTCAAAAAGAAACACTTCGTTTATCGGGAACAAAGAAAGAGAGAGAAAATAATGAAACAAATTTATTTCTTATTGTTAGCAAATTATTGTTCTCTCCAATTTCAAAGATGAAATCTCCATAATAATGAGTTTTTCTAGAAGCACAGCGTAACAAATAAAAAGAAAAAGCATCGCATATCACGAGTATTGTAGTCAAAACGTAGAAACGAATAACAATAAGCACCACAAAAAATAATATAGGGCGGAAAAGAATATTTATATTTATTAAAAAATCTATAAATGAGAGAAACACAATTATAACAATTCCATACAATAACTCCCTCCCCCTGTACATACTTATCCTCATAAAGAAAAGAAAAACGACATGCAAGAAATCACTTTGGATTTCGTTGCAACGAAACTTAAACCCTAAACGATTTCATCCCTTCGACTCAGGAAACGAGAAAGATCGGAATTTTCATTCAAAATTCCAAATTAGCGAGGTACACGCGAACGGAAGAAAGGGTGGAGAAGAACGTGAGAACAAGCAAGAAAAACCATCCGCGTGAAAATAAGAAGCGGAGGATAACGACGATCTCGTTACTCGTATCACTTTCATCCGCTTAAGATTCGGGACTCGTAACACGAGGATATCGTTAACCTCGTATTTCGATCGGACGCAACAATTCTCGTATAAATATCCAGCATTTGGCACGATTCCGAAATATTTCGAGACTCGTCTCTTTGCATTGGTTCATCGAGACGAACGAAGAAGGGGAAGAAAAAGAAGGAGGAATGTTTTGTCTAGACAGTGCGAAATTGAGAACGGGAAAAGAGCAGGGCAAACGTCGACACAGCCGTCGTTGGCAAGTGTCCGCGTGCTTCGACGTCGTCGTTATATATGAACGTAGAACTGGCACTTTCTCTTCCGCGAGCCTGCCTACACGATTCTCTGCTTTAGCATGAACAGTCTATCCGTGTTGCGAATATCAGCTGTTCCCGATGACATTAATGACCGGAGAAGAGCGTCGACCGCCTTTGAAAGCTGAATAAGCGACATCGTCGTCGCCAAACAAGCTAGCGTAATCTAGCAAATTAAAGAGGTATCGTTAAGAAAAATTGTTCGAATCGTGTATTATTCTGATTAATCTTTGAAATATCAAGCTTTTTGGGTCATATCAGAGAGTTATTGTAACTTTTTAAGTAATTTATGGATTAGTTTGGTACCATATTGTCGTTCATTGAATAGTTAATTTAGATATGAAATCTATGAAATTTAATTTTAATCAGGGGAATAATTGAATTTGAATCGATGCTAAATGATCGTTACATGACAAAATGAACTTGTAAAATAAATTTCTTTTTCCTTAATATGATTGATAACAAGAATTAGCAAGTAAAAAATTTAATAAGTCTCATTAATCTATCAAATTCAAACTGTGATTCTTGAAACTAATCACTTGAAAAGTTAAACTAACCTAATCATATATTTCCTCTTAAAATTAAGAATCTTCGAGAGAGAGAGAG